TTGCCTTCTCCTGACAGCTATGCTGTATTAAATTCCAATGTTCACAAAGACCAATCAGATATCTCCTTCTCCCCTTCATCCTCTTTTTTTTTTTTTGTTAGAGATAGCTGAATGGTGTTGGCTACCCCTTGGCTAATGCTACACAATGAGATGAGAAAGGGCTGTGGAAGGCAAGAAGGGCCCTATACCAACGTGGAGTGTTTTCCTATCATCTGCAGCCTCACTGGCCTGTTCTTAGAATTATTCTCACCTGGCTTTTCTCATAACCTTGAACAGCACTGTTTACTAACTTTTACACTTTTCTGAGGTTGAGCCAAGATACTGAACAAGGTATTTTTCTGTGGGTCCTAGACATTACAAAGGGAAGAAAACATGCAACGTCTAATTCAGTTTCTTTCTTTTTTTTTTTTTTGGCTAGGCAATAGGGGTAAGTGACTTGGCCAGTATCACACAGCTAGTACATGTTAAGTATCTGAGGCTGGATTTGAACTTAGGTCCTTCTGACTCCACGGCCAGTGCTCTATCCACTGCACCACCTAGCTGCCCCACTGCTGGTTAGTTTTGTAAATTCATGGCAAATCAGGTAATTAATTTGTTCTAAATCTCTTCACCATCCATAGCATCCAGCACGGTCCTAGATAAATAGTAAGCATTCAACAAATACTTGAAGTACTGATTTTTTTTTTTTAACCCACATCACTAAAATTACTTGTCTTTGGCCTCTCTGGGACCTTATCCCAGGACTTCATGTTATAACTATTTCCACTAAGTAATCCACTGGGTTCTAAAAAATGGACAGGACGTGCTACCTCATACCCATCAAATTGGCAAAGATGATAAAAGACAGAAATAGTCAATGTTAGAGGTTCTGTAGGGAAATAGATGTGCTGTTAGATTTGATGGAGTGTAAATAGGTACAATCAGTCTAGAAAACAATTTGGAATCATACTAGAAAGTGACTGAACTGTCCATATTATTATTGAGCCAGTGATCCTACCACTAGTCATATACCCCTACTAAGGCCAAAGCGAAAAAGAAAGGTTCCATACAGACTAAAGTATGAAGAGCTAGACTTTTTGCGGTATCAAGAAATAGGTTTGGGGATGACTCAGCAAACTGGCGTATGTGAATGATTACAGAGTAACTAACAAATAATATGAAGATTTCAGAAGTTGTATGAACTGAGACAGAGGAAATAAAGCAGAACCAGGAGAACTAGACATAGTAACGACAATAATGTAAACAAAGTATCAGATTCAGAGCTAAGAGGATCCTCAGAAGCCCAATCCTCTCATTTTTCAGATGAAAAAACTGAGATAGGGACAGGACTTGTGATTTCAATGGTGTAGGGAACTCCTTCTCCTATGCAGGTAAGGCATATATAAGGATATAACTTATCATTTTAAAGGGATACCCAGAGAACTGAGAAGTTGTGATCTACCTAGGGTCACGTAGTAAGTGTCAGAGCGGGGATTTGAACTCAGTTCTTCTTGCCTTTGAGGCTGGCTTTCTATCCCCTCGATAACACCACTGCCTCCATATAGGGAACGTCTAAACAACAGCAACATTAAAAGGAAGGTGGACTCAGATCAAATTCGATAACCATTTGTGGGCCCAAAGTATGTGGTGAAACACAGTTCTCTCTTCTGACAGACAGGTGGAAGACTCCAGGTACATAAGGGGACATATAGTGTTACAGTGTCCTTGTCAGTTTTCCTTAATTATTTCTGTTAATAAAGGTCTCATATGAAGAGGAAATATAGTATAACTGGGGTGTAAACAACAAAAGACTAATAGAACCTCAAAAAAGAAGAATCAAAACCCCATCAGAAAAGATTTGGAATACGCTGAGGGGTCAGGAGTGCCGGTACTGCTCCCCAAAATTGAAAGAGCACCTATAAGGATGGTGTAGACAAGGGATTCACCCACTGGATGGGAAGTGAGACCAGTTACTTTCTGAGGCTCCCTACTGCCTGTAGGATAAAATACAAAACTCTTAGCTCAATATTTAAATCCCTCCTTGGTCTGACTCCAACTTACTCTTCTAGTCTTGATGTTGAGTCATTTCAGTTGTGTTCCATTCTTTGTGACCCCATTTGGGGTTTTCTTGACAAAGATACTGGAGTGGTTTGCCTCTTCCTTCTCCAGCTCTTTTTACAGATGAGGAAACTGAGGCAAACAGGGTTAAGTAGCTTACCCAGGGTCACACAGCTAATAAGTATCTGAGAGCAGATTTGAGCTCAGGTCCTCCTGACTCGAGCACTGGCACTCTGTCCACTACACCACCTGACTGCCTCCCTTTTGGTCTTTTGAATTACTCTATTTCATATGCTCTGGGGGTCCAGCCAAACTGGACAACTAGCTCTTCCCAACTCCATTCCTCAATATTTACTACCTCTGTACCTGGAACATATTCCCTTCATAGGTTAAAATCCTTCTCTTCTTTCGAAGTCCAGCTCAAGAGCCATCTCCTTCCTAAAGACTTCCTTGATTTCCCCAGCTAAAAGCAATCATTCTTCATTCCAAAACTTTACCTGTACCTCTCTTTTGCCCTTAACACATTCTACCTGGTATTATACTTACTTGTGTAAATGTCATCATTATTAGATTGTAAGGATTATTTGTTGACGACTGTGTCCTTCCCTTCCCCCACTCCCCTACGCTCACATCTTTATATCTCTAGTGCCTAGCACAATAGTTTGTAAATAGGAAATGATAAATGTTTGTTGATTTGAATGACTTTTAAAGTTCCTTTTAATTGTGACTTAATGATTCTTTGAAAGCACCTCAGAAATTGTTCATTGACAAAGCACCTATTAGTTGGATTCCTGGTGCCCTTACCAGTTGGGGACACAGCAGCCAGGAATGTTTTACTTGCCATAGAAATGTAACCACTTCTGGGGCGGAGTAGAGCAGGTGTTCTACACCTGCACAGGAGAGCATCATGGCATCATCGGACAGGAAGCAAGGTAGATGATTCCACTGAGACAAATATGCAAAATGCGGTGATTGGTTCGGTTGAAATGAAGCCAAGAAAATGGGGTCAACTCTAGCTGTGTAGCACAATAAGAACTTGTCTGAGCCTCAAACCCATGAAGAGGACATGTAAGTTGAATGAGCTCACAGCAGTCCCTAGTGTCAGACTAGAATATTGCCGCCTTATTATTAACACCTGGCAATTTTTCAGCCTGTCGTGGAGAAACTTTGAGAAGTCAACCAGACTCTCCCCAGCAAGACTATACCTAAGCAATGTAATTTCTTTGTAAAAGAGTACAGAGCCAAAATTAATGATAGCTAGTTCCTTGACTGGCAACACAAGCAGATCTGGTGCCGTCGCCCTGCTTGGCATCTCAGCCACCTATGTGCTATTCAAGTCCTAAATACTCATGTGGCCACTCACACTTGGTTGTTGTTGGTCCTCGGTGACAAACTTAGGCTCTGGAAGAGTAAACTGGGTCTGTTCCCCACCCCTATGACCCCTCACTGGATAGGAAGGTGGTAAAGGATGCTGGGAGTGACGTGACCGCGTCTCTTCTTCCTTGGACTCTCGCTTTGGATGGAATGATACCTCACATGATTAAAAAAAAAAAAGTTTGGAGAGAAATACAGTCTTAGTGACCATAAGAAGAAGGGCTAATAGATTTCCCATTTTTATTGCGTGGTCCCAGGGAGCGGATGTGGTAACAGGATCAACTCTGATATTCCCCTAGAGTAATCTGCTTGCTTTGGATCAAGGGCTAATAAGAAATACTTATTTAAGGAGAGTCATTGGGCCTGTGATACTCAAATATCTCATGAGTATCCCCAATAGGATACCTGATTTCCTGCTCTGTTAGCAAGAAAGACAATATACCGTGGGGATTTTAAAGCAGAGCCAGAGGGAGCCTTAGAGATTCTCCAATAAACATGGGAATCTTTGTTGCCTTCCCCATCCCCGGATGAGTATAGGAGACCTCTAGGAATACAAGGGACTTCCCAGAGTTTTTCTTGGTTTTGTTCCAAAGTTCCTTTATCTCCCACCTTCTCCACAATCAGTAGAGCCAAATGACTGACCTAGAGCATAGGCATCTGGCTGCCTGGGTCACCTTTAAAGTGTCCCCAAAGACCTTTCCTTGTGGACACAGGACTGAGACCATGAGCCTTAGCCGTCATCAGCTTCATTATCAGAAAGAAAAACATTAATGAAACAACAAAGCCTGAGTTAAAAGTGCTGGTTGAATCACATTTGCACCAAGGAAGAGCTACAGAGGACAACAGGCCCAAATGTGACTGTTTTGTTCCATCTAGTGGCAAGTAGGTGTTTGATGTCTAAAAATGGAAAGGGCTGCCTCTGAAAGCATCGTTTTCCCCAACACTGTAGTTCTCCTGATGGAGGCTAGATGACCATTTGTTGAGGATACAATGGAGAAGATTCACAGTTCAGATTGGACTAGATTATAGAGGCCTCCACCTTGATTGCTACAAAACTACAGAATGCTCTGGAACCAGATTAAAATTTAATTGGGAAATGCTTAACAAAATAAATAAAAATGCAATACAACGTAGACAGTGTTAATTTGTGGTTTTCTAAGTCAATATGAAGCCCACAGGGACCCATTTCTATTTGAGTTGGACACCATTGGACTAGATGACCTCTGTGATCCCTCCTACCCTTAAGATTCTCTGAGAAGTGTGCCACAGAACACATTCTCTCAAATTTCTGGGAATCTTTGTCCAAGTCACCATTCAGCTCATAGAGAAGTCCTGCCATGGTTGAGTTGAGCAACCGTGAGTTGAGTTGAGCAAAGAGCAGTATTGGGATTCATAGGTTGAAGGGACAATCCTTTTTACTTCAGAGACTAAGACCACAGTATATATAGTGACATACTTGCAAACCTCCAAGCCCATAAAACACTTACATATGACAGAACAGATCGGTCCCACTTTGTACTTGGTGCCATAAAGGGATGCCACAGACTCAGCAGCTATTTCAGCCACTTTATTCTAGGGTGAGAGAAACAGGGAAAGAACTTTACAATTCTTGTTTGATAAGATATCCAGTGGTTTTCCCTTGCAGAGAATGGGGAATTCTGGTTAATTGAATTCCTGGGTAATAGAAGGACTATTTTGGTTTTAACTCTTACTATTGAAAATCTTTCTTAAAATATTATTAGTTTAAATTTCTCTGCTGAACCTCTCCTGTGCCCTAAATACATTCTCCCTGGTATCATACTCATTTTTGTAAATGCCATCGTTTTTAGATTATAAGTTCCATGAAGGCAGCACTGTGCCTTTTCTCCCACCCCCATCTTTGTATCCTTAGTGCCTAGTTAAGCCTAGGTGGCGCAGCTAGGTGGCAAAGTGTGGAGTCAAGAAGACTCATCTTCCAGAGCTTACACCTGGCCTCCCACTTCAAAGCTGTGTGACTCTGGGCAAGCCACTTAACCCTGTTTGCCTCAGTTTCCTCATCTGTGAAAAGAGCTGGAGAAGGATATGGCAAGCCACTCCAGTGTCTTTGCCAAGAAAACCCCAAAATGGGATCACGAAGAGTCAGACAAGAATGACAAATGACTAAACAACAAGAAACCTAGTTCACTGAACATAATTAAATCTTTCTTCGATGACTAGGGATTATTTTTACCAGTTCCCATTGTATAGAGGGATATATGAAGGAGGTATAAGAGATTAGACTGAACTGGACT